GATGCAGCGAAATATGTCTAACTTGGGTGGCAGCTATTAATATGGCCTTTTTTATAGAATTAATTTGAGAAACGAGCAGACAGTCCACCTAATGGTAAGTGGATGCTGTGGCCCATATAGACATTTACAAATATGCTCGATTAAGAATAAAAAGCAGATGCGTTGCGACCCTTGACGACTTAGATGGAATGCCTCGTTTCCAGTAAAAAGGGTCTCCGGTTCTCTACACTCACCATACGAAATACAGCAGAATTAAGCTGCTATTTTACGTTGGTTTTCTGTGAGAGCATGTTCCTGTCTTGGTCGAGCCGGCCCTTACATGCTACTACCATAATATAGCTGCAGACGTCGACAATGTCATAGTTAGTCAGGGCTACCTTCAGTTTAATATTATTATAAGAAATCATTACCAAAAACCATTTATGTTATAAACTTTACATCTTTTTCCAAAAACACAATTCAAGTTTTACGTATAAAATGAAACTTAAATACTTCTTAGCATTATTCTCTATTTATTTGTAAAATTTCATCACAATCGGGTCATTCATTCCGAAGATTAGATTATTATATTATTTATTGCATGCTGTAACCGCAACGCGTATAGATATGTTCTACTAGGGCCTAAAAATTAAGATTCCAACGTTTTGTCGCAAGAAATCGTATCTAACAATCATATTGTACATATAAATGATATAAAAAGCACATTGTCAGAAAGATAAATGATTGTTGAACTTATTAATATTTTTTTTAAATCGTTTATTTGCTATTTTTAAACAAAAGGGGTTAAGTGGATTGTGGTGTGGATTTACCAAGTTCGCAAGGCTTGTAAACGCGATAACTTTTGGCAATATCAATTGTTCAACTCAGTATATTTTGAAAACTCTTCAGCTATCATGTGGGAAGCTATTGAATGTAAATGGTAGTTATATTTTGTTTAGTTTAGTTATAATAATTTCTTTTCAGCTGCAAAATGGTGAAATTTTCGTTGTTTGAGCAGCCTTGTGTGAAATCATTTTTAGTAAATAGACTGCCTCACTCGGTTAGTACGGCTTCAACTGCCGTTGTGAGTGGATACTGTATTGGTTGTTTGCAGAGCCTCAAAAAGATCGCTGTACAAATAAATACAAAATATTCGAAAAACAAATTTCTTACTCTTTTATATTACTTGATTATTATAATAATCAGAGATTTTTATTACAATATTTTAAAAGCACATAATAAATAATAGTAGTACGTACCAAAAGTAAGTAGGATGTAATATTTATAGTTAACTACGTCTTGGACTTTATGAAGTGACATGACTGATGATATGATGATCATATGAGCATTATGATTCGTGCACTTTTGGATTTTCCAAACTTTTTTCAAATTATTATCCTTTCAATTTTCCGAAGTTTTGTGTATTTAAACAACTTTAAAAAAAATCCGTATAATCATGTTATAAGTAATTTTTTTAATGCGATTAGGGCATGCTCAATTGGATTTACCAATAGTTTTTTATATTATAATTTGATATATTTTAACTTATGTTAGGAAAATATTTCTAGTGTTTTAAATATATAAAACATATGTGAGTGTCGTGGAACACTCGGTTGGAACGAAGTCCCTTTCAAAGTATATTATTATTGATATCCCTTTCAAAGTATTATATTATTGATTAATAGATATACATAAATTAATTATTAGCGTCTATTAAAAAGTACACCATTTAAAATAAAATACACTATGAGCCAAGAGGCAGTGACGAACAAATGTTACACTTTTTGTCGCCTAGCTCCCATCCGCCAAACCCGTACCGTCCGATAAGGAACTTCGTTCCAAAAATTGTCATCTACGTCGTCAGTCCTTAAGCAGTTCTATGTCAAACTTGGAACCCTTCCATGATAAGGAGAATTTTCAACAATCAACCACGGTTGGTAGATGGATTTGCAACTGAAGTACGATAAAACTGTTTATAGTTTCTCCCTCACCATTACAGCCATTCACTAGTCCACTGGTGAACATAGGCCTCCCCCAACAAAAATTTCGACCCGGTAGGTGGCACTGTAGTCAAGATTCAGAAATCACTCGTGCAAAGCCGAGGTGTATTGTTAGTTTTGAATAAAATATTTTGACTCTACTCGAAAGTTTTAGAGGTTTAATACTATGTTTTTGTCTAGCTGACCAATGAACAACTAAATATTTTTTTTTCATTTTGACAGAAAATTCGATACGCGTTTAATATTTTACAGCCAAAAGTAATAGTCAGGCTTTTAACGAAATTGCGTTTCAAATGGAATTCATGCGGACTGCGTAGAGAGATTTATTGTAAGAGCCTGATAGTTGGACAATTTATGTATTTACGTACTCGCATCTTTTATCTCTATAGTTTTTGTTAACGTATGTGTATATTTTTTTTTAAATAGCATTCTAAGACTTGTTACAGAATTATCAAAGTGGTGTTAAATGATACATTTATCAACTGTACGGAGCCTTTACAGCTCAGAGCGCTCAAGCAAGCAATCCGGGTTCGATCTACGCCGACAGCCATAAAATTGTTAATTATAATTTTAATTACTCATTTACCACGTGCTTGGCGGTAAAGATAAACATTGTGAGTAACTTGCATAGCTAAGGAATTTAAATAAAAAACTATTTGTAGACTTTCGAAGATCGCCACAACGTTTTGGAACAGTGCAGCAGACAACTTCTTGCCCTAAATAACCCTCTCATAATTTAGAAGAGGCCTGTGCCACAACAGCGGAACGTATATTTACGTTTAATTTTAAAACTGTACGGAATTTCTGTTTCATCATCATTACAGTCTGTTATAGGTCTACTGCACAATACAGGCCTTTTCCATGGATAACCTCATAGTTGAGATTTATGCCATAGTAGCTACGCTTTGCAATCGGGTTAGCAACTGCAGTTTTTATTATTTTGTTTTTATCAGGAAGATACTGTCCCTCTGTCGCTTAGAACAACAACCACAGGATAATATGGCGTAGTAAACTTTCTTACGCCGCCACTACACGCGGTGATATTTCTTACTCATCATATGAAGGCGAATGTACAATAACACGTCAGTATAAGGAGTTTATACTACAGTAGTATACTGATGATGATGAACATGATATTATCTATAAATGTAATTATTCTTGAGTTAGCCTACAAAAAATTGTTCCAGGTCTGGATGTTTGATCTTGGGAAATGTATGTATCTAAAATACCCCCACGATACAGAAGAATATCCTAGTGTGGAGGTAACGTTATTTAGAATGAAAACTAAAATAAAGTAAGCTTAAGTGACACGGTGGTAGGCCTCCTTCTTTTCTGCCTAGGAGTCTTTCTGAGTAATAATTACAGGTTACTAAAATGGAGTGTCTCAGAGACACCTCTTAGGACTATCTCAAGCATACTTGTGGCTGTGAGGTAGTCCATCTTAGTCCTCAGAGCTGACAACGCATCACTAGCTTTGTATGAAGTTGACTGCAGGTGTCCATGGGTTACAGTAGACACTTAACACTAGGTGGACTACAAGTACATTTGTTACTTAAGCTTTATAAAACAAAAAGGATAATTTGCACGCGCACGCACATGCACATACACACGCACACGCACATGCATACGCACACGCACACGCACACGCACACGCACAAGCACACGCACACGCACACGCACACGCACACGCACACGCACACGCACACGCACACGCACACGCACACGCACACGCACACGCACAAGCACACGCACACGCACACGCACACGCACACGCACACGCATACGCAAACGCACACGCACACACACACGCACGCGCATACGCACATGCACACTTGTGGATCTGTGTGCCTAGTGCGAGATTTTTTAACGCGTTCGATACCGAGAAAGTTAACTACAATTTGTATGGAATAAAATCAGCGCCAACTAGTGGCAATAATCGGAATCACAATTCATGAGTGAGAGTTTATTACGTCGTCGATATCGACCATCGAGCATTCACTCGCATTCGACAGTGAGAACGTAAACGCACGTGATTGGTTGTTTCAAGTATTTTGCGAGTGCGAGCGCCGATTTTGATCGTTCAATACGTAACATAAACAAACTTTACGCCGTCGGTATCGAAAAAGTTTTCACCTAAATTTTGACAGTGAGAATGCATAGTGAGAACGATTGTTGAAGGTTTAATTTTATTTCGTTTTGTGTGAACAATATTTAATTATGGCAGGACGTTTTTTTCGCATGGAGGATGTTTGCAGCCGCTAAGGCACAAGATGACCGCAATTATAACGCCAATGTTGAAAGAAGAGCTCGCGCTCTTTCAACCCTTTGTTACACCTCACGGGGAGGCAATTTAAAGATAGATATCGCATTTCCAAGAAAGTCTTCAAGTTTTGTGTAAAGAGCTAAGGAGTTTGACAAATCTTAGGTCCTCTCAACGCGTTTCCTTGGAACATAAAGTATGTATCGATCATTAAAGTATTCACATTTTTGCAACTCAAGTTTAAAACAAGTGCAAGTTTAAATATAAATTTGTTCTCTTTTTAATTGCAGGTGCTCACTGCTCTATTATTTTTTGCAACTGGATCCTACCAAAGGCCAGTTGGGGTTGCAAAGCACACTTCTCAAAAAATGTGCAGTGTGTACATAGAAGAAGTGACCCAGGCGCTGACACACAAAAATATAATAAATAAATATATTCGGATCCCTGATACTCCAGCTGCTAGACAAGCAATTAGTCAACGGTAATAAATATATGCTTATTTTTAAACAACCTTATGCAAATTATTCATTAGATTCGGTTAATATTTATTTTAAAATTCAGTTTTTACAGAAAATATGGATAATAAAATAAATAGGTTATATTGATGGAAGTCATTTTAAAATAGTTGTCCCACCAAAAGAAGAGGAACATTTGTATGATAGTTGTAAGCACTACCATTCACTTAATGTTTAAAGGGTAAATCTTAAGTTTTTTTTATTTTTTATTATTTCTTGGTTAAAAAGGGGTAGAAAATAAACAAAATGTCTTCTTTTCAGGTATGTGATGATGAATATAGAATTTTAAATGTGAATCCCAAGTTTGGAGGTTCAAATCATGATTCCTTTATATGGGAAAACAGTAATTTGAACACATACGTGCAATCTTTGCACCAAAATGGAGAAATTGTCTGGCTTTTAGGTAATATATCCACAGTATAACTTATTGGAATGTTTTGAGTTATATGAAGTATTTGTAAGTAAAACATTACTAAATAATTTCTATCTATATTGTTGACAATAACATGTATATTTTAACTCTAGGAGATTCTGGATATCCCCAACGCCCATGGCTTATGACACCATTTTTAGACGCTGAGTCCAATAATTATAATGAAAAACACATGAGCTCGAGTTGATATTGAGAACACATTTTCAAGGCTGAAAAATCGATGGCGATGTCTGCACAAGGAATAGAGTTTTGCACTACAAGCCCGTAAAATGTGCACACGTTATTTTAGCCTGCTCTGTGTTACATAATATAATTATTAATTTTGGTGTTGAGGATACAGAGGAAAATATAGGTAGGTATCTTAATTTTAAATTGAATTACTATAATATATTAAGCTAATTTATAAATAGTAAACTCATTAATTATGATTTATTTTTAGGTCTGCAATTTGAAAGGAGAATGGTGGAATCTGATCAAATAAGTTACACAGAAAGAGAAGCTAACTCTGATTTAATTAGAGGTAGAATATTAAGAGATCAATTAGCAAGAAGGTTACTATAGGGATTAAATAAATAAATTTGAATAAGCTTAAATCTTTCTTTTATTTATAACCAGCCTTAAATTTTATCACAAATTTAATTAAATAATTACAATTACAACTTAATACAATAATTTAATAATTACAAGAACATTGAAACACAACAGAAAAGTAATCTAAATTATTTTTAGAGCCATGCTGTAGCTATATTAGTAGTATAGTTGTAGCACGAATGGGTTGGCTCGACCGGGGAAGGACCACGCTCTCACAGAATACCAGCGTAAAATAGCAGCCTAACACTGCTGTGTTTCATATGGTGAGTGTAGAGAATCGGAGTCACTTTTTACTGGAAAACAGGCATTCCATCTTAGTCCTCACGGGTGACAACGCATCTGCATTTTGATTCGCAAGCGAGGATAGATGTAGATGTCTATGAGGTACAGCAACCACTTACCATCAGGTGGACTGTGTGTTCGTTTGTCACCCTATCCTATAAAAAAAAAGTTTCTCCAGTGTTCTTAGGCTTGGAGAATCTGTTGTGCTGCCTGTTCTGTGTGTGCTGACCTCACTCGTTTTCGAGGTGATCCTCGAGCATGAATTGGTCTTGCACAGCAAGGTGTAGTTTGCCCCGACAAAGCAGGCCCTGGTTGACTTGAGATGAGAGCATAGTTGGAGTGAGCATGCCCGTATCTGTAATAATTTTAAATTTATTTAAAATTATCACCTTCATGAATAATTAAAGTTCTATCTTACTTTCCATTAGTACCTTCATAAATGAAATAAGCAGAGATGTCACAGTATTTACTGGGGCAACATGAGGATGTGTTGATGGCCCTGGGTCGTTCCAAGATTGAAAACCTTAAATATGAAAAATATAAATGAAACTTTCAACAAAATCAATATACCTAGTAGTTGTATACAAGAACCAAAAAGACAGACAAGTTGGCTTTTAAATTTATAAAATTAATGTAATTTTTATCTATAAGTAAGATTTATTCATATTTAACTACTTGAGTGTACATTGAGTGACTCATGTATATTTTATTACTTTTAATTTATTCGGAGAAAGAAGACTTACACACACACAATACTTGGTTTAGTGGTTCCAAGTGCTGCTGCCAAGCAAGAATTTTTGGGTTTCATTCCCGGAACAAACACAGTACTACCCTGAAGATTTTATACTGTCTAATAAGTAAGTCATATATTACTTTGTACTTCCTCTGCAAAGGCAAGAGATGGTGAAGATATAGGCCTTGGCAGTGTTGGTGGCAGTTGTGGGGCAATATTTTCCTGAGCAGGTTGTGAAGTACCTAAAATAAAATAAAAACTTTGTTAATATAATATAATGTGTACTGTTAATAATTTGTTAATAATATGCTATTTACATTCTACTGATAGATGTGGTTGTGGTTGTATTCCTTGTTCAAGATTCACTGTAGGATTAGCCTGAACATAAGTCCCCTGAAAGAAAATACAGTTTATAAGATAATATAACCTACTAGCAGGTGGTTTAATTTAAGTTAAAGTTGTAACCTGTGACAACCCAGCTTCTTCAACTGCCAAGCCCGTAGCTACTTGTACACCTATCAGATTTAGGACTCTTTGTTCCAAATATGTCAATTTAACATGTGTAGCAGGCCCACCACCAGTACCTCTAGATGCTTTATGTAGAAGAGCAGCCTTTTTTAATATTATTTTTATAACCACTCCAAACCTTAAAGCGAGCAGCGAAGCAAATGTTTCATAGAATTAGAGAACCACAACCCAGTTTAAACCAAAATAGATAAATAATCATTTAGACGTACCTTCTTCCATTTCTCGGTACTTTTTGTATCACCACTACCATCACTATTCAAAAATTGAGCTAATTCCTCCCAGTTTTTTATACAAGCCATCCTACTTCTTGCATTATTTGATGGTTTGCTGAGATTTCCATGCCTAAAACCAACAAACTTAGTTACAAAATATACAACAACATATTAATATATTCCCTAAACACTAAATAAATTAAATTCAACTTACTGCTCCATAAATGTCACCATCAAATCGAATTGGGTCGAACTAGTCTTCATATTTTTTTACTTATAATTATAATTTAATATTTTCAATTAAAATAAATAAATCGTAAGTTCACAACAAACACAAACTGTCAAAGTATATGAAAGATGCTATAATAACCACAACTTTGATAGACAGCTTCTAATATTAAGACGACTAAGTAAATATGTTTTAATGGACATGAAGAAAATATTATAATTAATAACTGTTTTAACTTGTTGTCTTGGTTATATTGATTAAAGTAATTAACAAAGAAAAGTCTTTAATTGCAACTACCACATATGGCGACCGTGAGGCAAAGAATTTAACTTATTAAAAGTCCGGAATGTCCGCTGTAGTTTGTGCTCAAATAAGGAAGTCTGATTAAGATTATAATAAAATAAGTAGTTTGGAAGATTTGAGTACATATATTAAATAAAAATGGAGACTGCAGCGGCGATTAAAGAGAACCGGGAGAGAGAGCAACTAAGAAGAATTTTCAACCGAACAGCGACGAAGCTAGAAGCTGATATCAAAGTCGAAAATTTCTCGCAAGTGTTGATCGACATTGAATTTCTTAAGAGTAAGGTTGAACGATTAGAAGCTTTAGATAAAATGATACAAGACCTCATGTTAGAAAGCGACAGTTATGATGAAGAATCCTTCAGCATTGAAATTGATACAGCGGACACGTATAAATACAGATGGCACACAATTAACAATCAGATAAAGACAGGTATGTCGTCAAAAATTCCTCTTGATAAAATTGAAGATGTAAAGCCAGCCAGGAATTACAATTTACCTAAGTATGAGCTAAAGAAATTTGATGATAACCTGAAGAACTGGTTAGCTTATTGGGGCCAATTTAAGAAAATTGACGAAGATCACTCATTGTCTGGAGAGGATAAGTATCAGTACCTCCTTCAATCATTGAAGGAAGATAGTAACGCTCGAGTATTGGTGGAAAGTTTCCCTCCGTCTGCTGAAAATTATACAAAGGCTATTGAACAACTCAAGGCAAGATTTGGACGGGAGGATCTTCTCATACAGGTTTATGTTAGGGAATTATTAAGTTTAGTTTTAAACAATAATAAAAAACAAGTATCTATTAGACTATTATATGACAAAATTTCAACATATTTGATGTCTTTAGAAACGTTAGGTATTGTTAAACGGAAATATGAAATAATTTTGTATCCCCTTGTAGAATCAGCAATTCCCGAAACAATTCTTATTGCTTGGAATAGATGTAACACTGATCCATCTCTTGGTAACCAATTGACAAGTTTATTAAATTTTCTTAAAAACGAAGTAGAAACAGAAGAGCGAATTAATTTAGCGAGGTCCGATTTTAATTGTATTGGTACTAATCACACTCTCCACAGGGAACAAATAAGCAGCTTACCAACAGCAGCATCGTTAGTATCAAATATAAAACCAAAGGAGTCAGGTAAAGTAGTCAATGTTATTTGCTGTTTTTGTGACAAAAGCAATCATAGTTCTTTTGAATGTAGTAGAGCTAATAAGATGTCCCTAGAGGATAAAAAGGAGGCAATAAAAAAGAAAGGCTGCTGCTACATATGTCTTAAAAAAGGTCACATGGCTAATAAATGTAAAAGTTTTGTTAGATGTTTATCATGTGAAAAAAGACACTATGTGATTTTATGTCCGGAAATTCATAAGAAAGAAAAGAGTGGAACATTGGAAAATGTTTCGTTATGTGCCAGAACTAATATGACAACTTTGTTACAAACACTCATTGTCAATATCACCTATCAAAGAAAAATCAAGAAGGTGAGAGTTTTGTTAGACAGTGGTTCTCAAAGGTCGTATGTAAAAGCCAAAGTTGTTGAAGAATTAGGATTGCATGAGACTGGCATAGAAATAATAGGTCACACATTATTTGGGGGTGTGGATCAGCCTGCCAAGGTATATAAATGCTTTGATGTTTTGGTAAGTAGCTTAGACAATAGGTTTTCTGTTAGAATCAATGCACTACAGCAGTCTGATTTATGTGGGCACCTGCCAAAAATTAATAATGAAAAAATATTAGACAAGTTACGGGACTTGAATATTGTGATCAGTGATTTTGATTATACAGATACTGAGATAAGTCTCTTGATTGGGTCGGATTACTTAGGATCCATCATACATAATGAAACGGTTAGTTTAGGTAACAACCTGATGGCTGTTAATACCAAGTTAGGATGGACATTACAGGGACCAATAAAAGTTCAAAGTACAGTCAATACATCAAGCACTACATGCTTTTCAAAAACAAATCTTTCTGATTTGTGGAGTATTGAGTTATTAGGAATTCGAGACCCTTATGAAAATAAGTCTAAAAAGGATACTGAAGTCGAGGTTTTGAAAACTTTCAATGATAACATTTCAGTAAATGCACAAGGACGTTATGAAGTCTCATTGTTATGGAAAGAGGGGTGTGCAGGACTCAAGACAAATTATGAAGTTGCATTTAAACGATTGGAATCAACCACAAAAAAGTTAAAATCAACTGGTAACCTAAAAATGTATGATCAAGTTCTTCAAGACTGGAAGAAAAATGACATCATTGAGAGGGTTATAAATGATACAAATACAGGCCACTATTT